CTCTTACTTTGCACTTGATTATTATTTTTTATAGTCAAAGGGACAGTGGATTTGTATAACTGAAGATATTCCGTGTCCTTTCTATTAAATATTTCTCTTTTAAAAAAATTCACTTTGTGAATTTCCTCAAAATCTCTTTTGGAGACAGTCGTAGGGCAGAAATGCGACTTTGTACTTTCAAATATCAGAATTAGAAATGATTTGACAAAAGACATACTGCATGAATTTCTATGAATCTAATTTGAAATTTGGTATTTATAGTATTGTTGAGACTGTGGGGCTTGCTAGTGCATCAATGAATCCGAGCTAAGCTTACCTCTTGAGCTATCTGCAGTGCTAGTAAAGAGGTCCAGCACCGGGCTAACAGTAGCAAAATTTTCAGAGGTAATTTACTTTAGATTTAGGTAGCGAAGAAACACCTACTCATATTTTAGAGATATTTTTTCCGAAGATCTAAGACATGAAATGAGAATCAATAAAGTAAGAGTTTACTAAAAATATAGAAAATGTACATTTTCAGTAACAGGAAATTCTTGCCACGAAAATGGCAGAATTGGATCCCTAAAAATCTGAAGCGTATTTTAAAAAACTTAAGTTATTCATGAGCAACATGTTTTGAATCTATGAGAGTATGTTATTTACCTAAATTTTTTTGTGCAATGAGTTATTTTACATAGCTATATTCAAATGTTCTTTATATATATCTTACTGTTTTCAAGTTTTCAACAAAATTATAATTTCTTTTTAGGTAAACAAGCATTAGTGGCATTATTTTCTGTAGTTTTAACTATCATATATTGCACAAACATTGTTACAATTAGATTTTATTTTGGAGGGTTTGTATTGAAGTTTTGTATTGATTTATGCTTTATTTACCAGTGAAGAAAATGCAAATGCCTGTAATTTTGCATTGACATTCAACACTGGTATTCAGTTTCATTATTGATGAAAACAGGCTTTTTTACTAAGATTGTACAGAGTAGTTAAAACTGAAAAAGCATTATCATCCATCATTCAAAAAATCAACATGTATATTTCACATGCTTATAATACAGATAAAAACCTTTAATGAGTTTTTATTTATTTTTAAACCTAATTTTTGCATTTTCTCAAAATGAAGAAAATAGCTGAGCTGCTGTGGAAGAGTACAGTTGGTGTGTTAAAATCAAATATATTTATCTTTCGAAACATAATATAACTACATTTGATAGAAGATATTGTATTGTATAGAATGTATAGCATTGTAACAAAATTCTCATTTGGTTGTATCCGAAAGTTCGTGTTAGTATTCTTTATATACTAATTATAGAAGTGTGCAATGTTAGTGGGCCTTGATGTTTCAAGGATAATATTTTTTTCATTCACACAATCACATTATTGATATAAAAACCCTAGCTTTGGAACTTGAGGTCTTCACACTTGCATTTATGATGATTTCTGGGAATAAGGGCTAGCTTGGAAAGGTCATACAGACATAATCATAGCAGACGGGAGCTTTCTCTGGTGGAGGACTGCGCAGGTAAAGTAGAACTCCCCTTGCTCATTCCACACGAATTTCTTACTACTAACACTTTGTTAATTAAAAGAGAAATAGAAGACCAGAAGTCCCAATCAAAAGCAGCTTAATTGGTCCATAAGTCCTGTCTGACAGTGAAAATCTCTAAACTAATCAATTACAATGAGTTTAGTAACTCAGCATTTCTTAAATATAAACACAACTATGATATCTGGAAGAACTTACTCTGTTAGCAGAAGCAGCATAACTATTAGCATAGCTTCCCTGTCAAGTTTGCTTTGCTTTTTAGTCATGTTAATTAGCTTTCCTTCTTCATATCCAACCAAATGTCCACACCACACAGTTTCATCAAGAATCCAGCCCTTCATCCCTCACATTAGCATTCTCATTTATTCTCACTGGGGCAGCTATGCATTCCCGAGTACCACGTTATATATCATGTATAACCACCTGAGCTTTTGCAAATAGATATATCTTGATCATATAGTTTCCTACTATTACATCCACTTTGCATATATAAAAAAAGTTATACGAGATAAAGATGCACTCTT